CTACTTACAGTGACATGGGTGGCCAGAAAAGTGATGGGTGGTGTTTGTGCGCCTAAGGGGTGTATGTAAATGTCACCGCAAGTCATTGCAATAAAAGACTACTACATGTTTTTCAAAAGTTTACCCTCTATCTCCGGGCAGGAAAGATTCTCGAAAAAGGTGGCAGAAAACCAGGGATGGAAGTGCAAGTCTATGTCAGCTGCCAAACATCGGTTCGGACGCCTAGTTGATTTTTGAGCTACAAATTTAGAACAGTTTTTATTTATGACAGGTTCCTTTACTTTTCATTGTCAACCGCCAGGTTTGAAAGCTTGAGAAGCCCGTTATCGAAAGTTGTCCTACACCTTCATTCGATAATGCTGGTGATGGCTACTTTTTTGCAAGAAGAAACTTGAAAAGGTCAAGCTCAATCACCGAACTCAATATTGAAAGCTATTCAGCCATTCAAATTTTATCCCCTAGTTAAATTCCTTTGCCTGCCCTGCTCCTTCCTAAGGAAGAAATCTCTGTGGAGCGACGCGGAAAAGTTTCTTGGTTTTTGATCGCTTTAAAACAAATAAACCAAAACCAACAAACCTTAGCTACTAGGGAAACCCTCTTGGGTAAATGCCAGTTAACCCTGCTTCATTTTATGGGGGTAACCCTTTGACTTTGGCCACAAACTGAGGCTGAGGGGAAGATCGCTTCCCAATTTCTGGAAAAAGTGTCCATCCAACACATCTTGAATCTTATCAGCATTGGATCAGGCTTAGCATTGGGTTTGAAATAAATCTTCATGGGATTATAGCTGTGGTACCCACCTGGGATAGACCTCCTAAAGGGAAATACCCGAACAGCATACATGGGCCCCTACCATTGATTTTCAAGCCTTTAAATTGATAATTGATCATAATACTAATATTATTAATAATAATAATGTCGATGTACTAAGTTGCTCAAGCCCATTCATTTCCACCTGCCTTAATTTGGGGTTCAAAAATAATTACTTTACTTCGTGTGATCCCCACCATGACATTTATACATTTTGTTACTGGCAAATCTTCTGGCATTCTATCTGACATTTTATCTGGCATTCTATCTGGCATACCTTCTGGCATTCTATCTGGCATATCTTCTGGCATTCTACCTGGGCATATGCTTCTGGGCATTCTTCCTGGCAATATCTTCTAATCTTCTGGCATATGTTCTGGCAATATCTTCTGGCAATTCTCTCTGGCAATATCTTCTGACATTCTTCTGGACATATATATCTTTGACATTCTTTCTGGCATATCTTCTGACATTCTGTCTGGCATACTTCTGCCTTCTTTCTGGCATTCTATTGGCTTCTCTCTGACATTCTATCTGACATCTTTCTGACATTCTTCCCGTTGAGGTCCGGCAGTGCCACTGGATCTGGGGCTCCCGGTTGAGGTCCGGCAGAGGCCAGTAGCGCCTGTTAAGTCGCGGTTGAGGTCCGGCAGTGCCCACTGCGACCTGGAAGTCGCGGTTGAGGTCGGCCAGTGCCCGTGGGATCTGGAGCTCGCGTGGAGGTCGCGGCAGTGCCCACTGGGATCCTGGAGCTCGCGGTGGAGGCCCGGCTGTGCCCACTGGGATCTGGACTTCGGAGGCGGAGGATGCGGAGGCGGAGGAGGAAAACAGCTCTGATAAAATCTAACAACCCTCACCTGGCAGGTGGGGAACAAATACTTGAATTTGGATGTTTGTGGGTCCAAATGGCCACAGCCACTCTGAGGACCTTGGCAGCCATGGCAGATGCATTAGATGAGCACCTAGCGCTTATCAGGATTGCAGATGCTGAAGGATTTGATATCCTAAATCTTCAAGCTGGTCTGGATCGGCCCTTTGGCAGCATTTAAATTTCAATCACCAAAACGCTACCTTACGTCGAATGATCTCCACCCTGACATGCTATTCTGACATCGTTTCTGACATATGTGGCACCTGGTATTCTATCATCTGACATTCTTTCTGGCATATACTCTGACAAATTCAATCTGACATTCTTTCTGGCATTTGGAAAAATCACCTGGCCCCAGAATCCATCACCGTATCAGGTTTCTCCAAACCATCACCTACCTTTTTGTCAAGGGCAATGTCTGGACTTTGAACGGCACCTATGGAGCCATGACTTTGACCCTTGGCTTTGGGACTGCAAAACCAAATCAACTTTATCAGTTCATGGTTTATTTGGGGAGCCCGAAAGGGCTCTGGTGATATTCAGGAGACGGTTGCAAGCAGACCCCCTTATGATCAAGATCAAGAAACTTGGAGGAACTACGTGCATCAAAAAGATTAGGGGCGCGCAGGTACCACAACGGGTCCTAGACGAAGTCTTGGGGAGGCCTTGGGTTCAATAAACATGCCAATGGTTTAGCCTGAGTAGAAAGAATAATATTAGATCCCATTTTTGAATTTCGTAAGGGTTTGGAAGCTTCCATGTTCTATCTACCCAGGGATGATTAAAGGTCAAAAGTCAAAAGAGTAGTTCAGAAAAACATAGTCTTGAGATTGTTATCGCCAATTACTACATCAGATGCTAAATCGTTTTCCCCCGAGGCTTTCAAACTGGGTGAAATTGGCTCGCTCCAGTGTTGATGCAGAAGTACCCCATTTTGAGATGCTCCATACTGTTGCCTCCTTCTTGACTGCCGTCAAAGCTGATGAAAAGGGGGATGAAACTGTAGAGCGGCTTGCTTTTGCATTTGGCTTCAACCCTGAGACTCGAATTAAATTGGGGTATTTTTTTCACCTTATATTTACTTACTATTGTTATTTTGTTGCCCTTTAGTGATTTCCATCCCACTAATGAATCATCTGGGCTGCCAAACCGCTCTGACTGAGGACGAGCTCATTCTGGAGGTTGGTCGTGTGCGACCCTTGGCAGAGGGGTTTGCAAGGCGAGACAAACTGGCACCTCTTGAGTCTTGGGCCGCTGCAGTGGCTTGGACTTATATTTTCATGGGAAACCCGCCAATGTTAGAACTGATGAACAGAATTGCCAGAACCACAATTAAGTCCACTTATGATCCAGGGCCCACTTGCTGTAAGGTGAAGAGAGAAGAACGGTACAAACTACCTTGCCCATTGCTACGTTACATTGTACTGCGGTGCATTGCGTGGCAGTTTGGCACGTCCGGGGTTGAGAGAAGCTTAGCTGACATGTAAATAGAACTGATCATTATCATTTAGAATTGTTCGATTCTGTTGATAATTAATTATTGATGTAATAATGAACACAATACCAAAAAACAATAGCACTGATGACACCACTATTCCGGACCCAACTTAATAAGATCAGTTGGTGTAAATTTAGTATAACGTATGTTTTTATCGGGATCTAATAAAACAATGATAGCCACAGTTATGGTCCTTCACTTATTATTATATGGATTCAACCCAATTATTATAAAAACTAATTCGTTTAAAACTGGTAAGTAAACGGCCTTAACTGCAGTGGTTTTACCACATGCCTCATGACCAAGCCCCACTAGAGGAACATTCAGCTCTGGCGGCTGGATCAAATGTCGCCGAGAATGCACAGAGATGCTGGCCAACGACGAACTCAGGGCATGTCACATGCCGCAAAAGCTGCATGACGAGCTACTTATCTGACATAAATAACCTTGGTTAATCTATGATCGTCGTTGGCCCATTTACTTTCTAAGTTACCATAAGAACGGCATGCTGGCAAACCACCTCTCAATAAGGTTGATCCAGCTCGCACAAACGGAGTGGGCAACTTTCCTGCATTCAAGGCGTGAACAACAAACAACACAATAGTTCATATGATATCAAATCTACACAAGAAGATAGCTCCTGACTTGTTCTTCTTCACCCCACCAAAACTTGAAAACTAATAACAGGATATTCACTATTGTTACAACAGCCCACTGGATTTTTGATCCTGATAAATAACATGTATTCTTCCTGTCATAACATAATAGTTCTACAGGGATTCCTGAAAGCCAAGGCCAGTTGCTATGGCAATGAACGCGCAGTGCCTTGACAAAAACATTGATGGGAACAAATCACAAGAAAAAACATAGCTCCCAGTTTACAACCCCTGAATCAAATTCACTGTTGTTATTGATGGATTGTTCCTCCTATCAAATTCATATAACACAATTCACTGGGCTATTCCCCCATGACACAGTCCACGAAACTGAGTCCACGAAACTGAGTCCACGAAACGACTGGCATATCGACGAAGGGGCCTGCAAGGGACCAAGCAACGCAAGTGGAGTTCAGCTGCGCAGTGGCTGCGCTATAGGAGGCAGGCAGTCAGAGAAGCAGTTGATGGTGAGAATGATGGGGTGACATCCAAGGAAGTGCAAACCAGGATATCAAAGGTCGCTCAGAGGTTGTGGGGTGCTGGCCACACAAAGGAACAAAAGTTCATGAGGGACAAGCAGCACGCACGACGTTGTTTGGTTTTGACCAAGCACAATTTTGGGTTTTTGCCTAGCAAGCTAGACGGGGTCTTACATGGAACCGTGGAATACCCCTTCGATTCAAGTCAGTTCAATTCAACCCAATAATCCTTCTTTGCTAAATTTGGATTGCTTAATAAACTTAGGTCTTGAAGCCTTCAAGAATGGGGTTCCCTTCAAGAACAAGAAGCGTTTGGCGAAAGATCTGGCTGAGTCAGAGGAACAAGCATCCAAAAGACGTAAAGCTTACATCAAAAGCGTCAATGATCGTAACTTGTCAATATATCACAAATGACCAAATGACAGACAAACCATGCAAAAGACCCGTCCAGTCAAGCCCGCCGGGCCTCAGGTGACAACGCAGTTGAAGGTGGCGGTCCTAGAATCCAGCGCAATGATTGAAAATTGGATGCTTGGGACCTGTGGTGGTGTAATTCGTTCAATGGCAATGCCTCTTAGGACCCAAAGAATCCCTCCCTTTGTTCAAAGACATGAAAGTTTTGAATCCTGGTGATGGCCAAGTGCGAGATTCCATAAGAAGGACAGGGGCCAAACTTGTCACCCGGATGTTTCTTGCCTTAATTTAATTAGGCAGGTATTTCTCAACATGAATGATGCTCGAAAATAGTCGATCCATTTACTTTACAGGTATTTTCGAGCATCCCTGATGTTGAGAAATACCCATGTCAATCATCAGCAGGGCAGTGTGAATATGAACCAAATTTGTTATCGACCTGTTTTGTCCAATTCTCAAAGATGATCAAACCACATTTAAGGTCTGAGATGAATGTCATTGTGCAGAAAGACCCGTTAAAACCGTCCGTCTCAGCTTCCTGTGCGGCGTTTTTAACTGGGGTGTGCCTTGGATAAATTACCATTAATAGTCGCATGTGAAAAAACAATGATTAAATATAATAATCATAATAATAATACTTAGTATTATTATGATTGTTATATTTAATCATTGTTTTTTCACATGCAGGTAAGTATTATTATGATTATTATATTTAATCATTGTTTTTTCACATGCAGGGTGCTGATTAGAAACCCGAAATTGGGTCATTGCCTCCTTCATAGCTATTCCAAACTAAGGTACGTTGCGTCCCACAAGTATTTCAAATCAAGTGGGAGGAAAGGCCTCCTTGTCCCTTACAAGTTTCTAAACTGCACTAAGACCGACCAGTATTTAGGAGTGTTTGGGGGGTCAGGAACCTCAATCAATGGCACTGGCCGCAGGCCGGCTTCCAAATGGACAAGAAGACTTTGCTGGATTTCTCCCTCGTTTGAGCAGCAACACCCACGAGCTGCAATGGCAATTCAGGCTGCACCGTCGCCACCCTGGATTTATGAAAAATCCAAAGAGAAATTCTTGGAAAAATGGTTGCACTTAAACAAGATTTTGGTTGAAAGCGGTCTTCGACATGAAAAGGGTCCTCATGACATCTTGGGTTCGCGAGCGGGCCCCTGTACATTTTTTTCATCAAAAAAAAGCGCGAACCCAAGATGAAATGAGGACCCCATTTCAAAGGAATCGTTATACAATTCTGGACTCTGTTATGAATTAGCCAAACATAATAAATGCCATTAAATCAAGATTAAAATGCTTACTTCCATACCCCCTGGAAATCCCCGGCTATTTCCCGGCTTGGACAAGCCAAGGATCGGCTGAGGCGCTTCTCATCTCACCAGAAAACGGCCATCGCATTTGTGACCCGAAGAGAGCAGACCTCGGACGCCGAAACTTGGTTTTCCGGAGTGAGGTTGATGGGTGCCTAAGGGGCTTTACTTCTACCCAGTGTGGCCAACAAAATTCTTTTGATGGGTTGAAAGTAAAACCATCCGATCATCTTAATTTAAATCAACTCTTGAAATATCCATCTATAAATCCTGCATTTCGCAAGTTGACAGAACTTAGGATCTGAAGACAGTCTTGTTGAAGATGACCGCAGAGGACGCAATTCAATACTTCTTAGAAGTAGATGGTAGTAGACCGATGTTTCGTTGCTGGGGTGCTTGAAGGGGATGTCATCAGGCAAGTCGAAAAAGGTGATTTTGGATTCTGGGGGGTATTACCAATTCAAACCCAAACCAAAATTGGTTGAACAAAACTCATTGAATCAAATCCTTTCCAAAGCTGTGCTTTTCCCTGTTCCTGGGTGAGCCCAAAAGGTGATCATTGGGAGGGAGAAAGCCTGGGACTGATGAAAGCAAAAATAGTGAAAATTAAAAGAATACAAATCAGTCAAAGTGCATTTAAGATAATCACTGCTCTAAGGAGAGGGTCTCCCAGGCCCCCTCCTTAGATCAGTCGGGAGCGCTCCGGAGTGATGTAAGCCTACCCTTGACTATCTTAAAAGCGTAGGGGAAAAATTCATTTAGGCTTAGAGCGGTCCAAAAAACTGCCTCCAATGAACGGCTGGGTAGGGCTTAGAGCGGTCGGGAGCGCTCCGGAGTGATGTAAGGAGAGGGTATCCCAGGCCCCCCTCTTAGAGCAGTGATTATCTTAAATGCACTTGTTCAAAATGACAAAATTTTGAATTTTTACTTTTTTTGATGTTGCTGTTTGGATCCAAGGCAAGCTGTAGGAAATGGGGGTGCCATTGGGTGCCAACTTGACTGAAATGGGACATTAAAACCATCGGTTAATTGATATTAGAGTAGTGTTTATTTTGGAAGTTGGTAAGGTGGCACCCGTGTCAGAACCAGTGGCCATGGCGTCACACCGGGCTAGAAAGAAGCAGCGCAGCAGCGATGTTGATAGCAAACCGTTTTCACCGTTGCTGGACCAAGAGAACAGCGATGTCTTGACTTCTTCAGGTCTTTGATGCTGAAACATTTTTTTTAATCCGTCACCCCAACATAATAATAAGGTTGATTGGTCCATGTTTGTTGTTTCATCCAATTCATCACCAAGCTCCCTTCAGGTGCCACCCAGAATGCGGAACTTGTAGCTGCGGCCCAAGAGGCGCTGGACAAGATCTTGACCTTGTTTCCGGGCCTTGACACCGACAGCGCCCTTGGCCTGGGAAAAGGTGGTCAGCAAGTTGCTTGCACGAAAATTCAGGGTAAAATCTTAATGATGTTATCATGGTATCATCCCTTCTTTGATTTGATATTCGTTACATAATCTCCTAATAAATTAATTAAAGGTTATCATGTCCATTTGATCTCACATGATGCTTAAACCACATGATGGTGATTAAAAAAAAGGTGCTGCCAGTTAACCATCCCAAGTCAATGATTATTATTGGGTATCATTCTTCAACCTAATCCCCAAATGGTTGGTTACTGGAATGGTCTGTGATGTGCACTACTTAGTTAACAAGTGCAGGTTCCCAATGATTCTTTTGAAACCATCAATGACAACTTCAAAATAAACATGAAACTCACATTTTGGAAACTTGAGGCTGCCTTTGATGCGACCCTATGCAATGCCACTCTTTTTGCCGGTGGTGGCAGTGGGGCTGCGAGCTACCGTTGCAGCCAGTCAATTTTTTTGATGGACATTTTGTTCAACCCAGACCCATCCGTCATACCCTTAGACTTCCAAATGTTTTGATGAAGCGGGATTCACCAACAGCATCTTCACCCTTGAACATCATAGTCCCGGTTGAACATTGTCATGTTGTTTCTAAGGTGCCCATTCGACAATCATCGATAAATGACCTCGGTGAAAGGTACTACAAGGAGCCGAATCCCTACCATGGGACGCTCAAGGTGTGTGTCCCCCCAGACTGGATGCAGCATAGTTGCTCCAAGTCCCGTGCCAAACCCATCTCACCGCCAGAAAACACCTTGGCATTTTTATTGTAGCTTGGATACATTAGTTTGAACCATGATTTGCTGGGGTTCCGTCTCAACACCATCATAAACAAGTTTAGCTTATTATTATACTTGTTTCGTTCTTCTCTGGCAGGTCAATGTTCCGAGACATTGATGACGAAGAGAAAGTGCTGGAGTGGAAACGACACTTGCTGTCAGTTTCTTGACTGGATTTCGATTTGGGGTGGTTGAGAAATAAGTTATGTTATTCAACATAGTCTCAAATAGGGGTCATCATGATAAGTTATGTTATTAAACAACATAGTCTCAAATAGGGGTCATCATGTGTCATCTTGTTATTGCATCCCCAGGTGAATGTGCAGTACATTGTGGCGAACTCCGAAGATCAGATCTACTTTCTGAGCGCCAATGAACGACAGGATTTGAAATCGAACAAGGACCTTCGATACGTGGGTGTTTGGGGGAAGTGAATTGAAAGGACAATGGTCACGAGGTATCTCCCCCATCAAATGAAGATAGCCAATTAATCCATAATTTACTGCCACTCTCAGGAGGCAATGACACATACAACTCTACAGCGCATCTTCTTGGTGCTCAACTGCAAATCAAGGATGGAGAAGGTACTGGGAACGTTGAGCAACTTATCGGCATGGGTGTTTTTCATGATGTAACCTTAAACCATCATTTGGCATTGGGGTATGGAGTTTGGGTAGATCGTTGATAAATCAATTAATAATAATAAGGCGTGGAATCCTTTTGCAAGAAGTACATGGAGAACTACAATCCGGCAACAGATGACGACAAAGTCCCTTGACTTAGATTTACCTATTGCCCATTGGTTGTCACATCATTGTCCTCCCTTGAAACTCCGGGCGATCCCGGGCGCCCCTGCTTTGAGGTCACAGAGGCGTTCGTTGACACCTCCATAACGCTTCACAAAAGGGTTCTCAGCAACCCCTCATTGCTCCAGTTACTTCTGGAGTCGGATGAAGTGAAGGGGAATCCTTTCGACAGCTGGGCTAAGTTGCAGATATTAGTGCAGAAGTCGAAGACTGCCAAAAACATTGAGTGGTCCTTTCATGCGTTGTTTCATGGCTGAATTCTTCAACTCAAAATTTCCAAGAACCAAATACAGAAACAAATCTAATTTACTTGTTTTGCGATGACCTGAAATCATTTCTACAAAAGTGGTAGTTTAGCCCAAGCGGGTGGAAGGCCGGGCCTGTTGACATACCAAGGTACGATGGCTGGCAGAACAACTACCTTTCCCAAGACCTTCTCACCTGGCGCGGCTTGAAAGATGGCTTGAATGGTAAGGGTACCGTGGATCTCTTTGTGGGCCAGATGGACCTCCGTGACTATCTAATTCTCAAAGTGTTGCCGCAACTCGGCGGTTGAATATAAGTTGGATTGGAAATCAATAATGAGAGCAACTTTTGTAGACCAATCAATTCTTAACCTTAGCTTTGAATAACCAAGGAATTTTGGATGGGATCAGTCGGTCAACACCAAGATCAAAGATTTCTCGCATTTGCATTGCACCTATCGTGAGCTGCGGGCTCAGTCTGATAATAGCAGAATCTGTAAATTCAATGGGTACATCCGGAAAACATCCAGCAACTTAGGATGTGTGGAAAAGCAAGGGAAGAGAATGTTGATCTGACTTGGCGTGCAGGCCAGCCATTCAATTTTATAAAACTGATCTTAAATAAATCAAATCCATTTTTTGTGGTGTCCCTCCAATTCATCTACAGGATGGCCAAAATCAGCGGAGATGTTTTGGAACTTCCTGGAGGCTTCTCAGCAGTGGAAGGGGTGAAGTCCCGATTCCTCTTCTCTTCGAGCTCCCTTAGTGAGGGGTTGTGGTCCTGTTCTCCCTTGAATTGGGATCCGCGCAGCTGTTCACCCAGTGCTTTTTGCACCCCAAGGGCTCAACCTGGTGGGTAGTTGTGCCAGGACTGCATCTTCAGCAGCACGTTCCAGTCCACGTTCCGGAACTTGATTCGACACAGGAAGCCCGCTCCGTGGCTGAAATTAATACCTTCAGAGTCTTATCTACAAGTGGACTAGAACTCCACCATCTTAGTTTATGACACTAAGGACTGCTTATTCCCCACCTGCCAAGTGAGGGTTGTTAGATTTTATCAGAGCTGTTCTCCTCCTCCGCCTCCGCATCCTCCGCCTCCACCCCCGCCTCCTCCTCGCAGTCCAGATCCCAGTGGGCACAGCCGGACTCCAGATCCCAGTGGGCACTGCCGGACCTCAACCGCGACTTCCAGGTCGCAGTGGGCACTGCCGGACCTCAACCGTGAGCCTCAGATCCCAGTGGGCACTTCCGGACCTCAACCGCGACTTCCAGATCGCAGTGGGCACTGCCGGACCTCAACTACTTCCAGATCGCAGTGGGCACTGCCGGACCTCAACGGGAAGAATGTCAGATAGAATGTCAGAAGATATGCCAGATAGAATGCCAGAAAGAACTTCAGAAAGAATGTCAGAAGATATGCCAGAAAGAATGTCAGAAGATATGCCAGAAAGAATGTCAGAAGATATGTCAGATAGAATGTCAGAAGCTATGCCAAATAGAATGCCCGAAAAAATGTCAGAAGATATGCCAGATAGAATGTCAGAAGGTATGCCAGATAAAGTGCCAGAATGTTTGCCAGATAGGATGCCAGAAGATTTGCCAGATAATATGCCAGATAGTATGCCAGAAAGAATGCCAGAAGATATGCCAGAACATATGCCAGAAGATATGCCAGGTAGAATGCCAGAAGATATGCCAGATAGAATGCCAGAAGATATGCCAGATAGAATGCCAGAAGGTATGCCAGATAGAATGCCAGATAAAATGTCAGATAGAATGCCAGAAGATTTGCCAGTAACAAAATGTATAAATGTCATGGTGGGGATCAAGTAATTATATTTCATTAAATCATCATCAATCTCTATTTTTATATTATATCTGTCATTTGAGGAAAACATGGTCCCACAATGCCCTTGTGGTGGCTACTGAAGGTTCCAGATTGGATAGACCACTCAGAAATGACCACTCGGCTGGATGCGATCAAGGAGCAACTTGGCTAGTTCTGTGTGGACATGTGACTAGTAAAGCTAGGTTTCGATCGGGTGAAAACAGAATAGAGTAATTTTAGTAAAATGACGACATATTAAAAAACTGATTGGGGGGCCGGGGTTGAAATCGTATTATCGTCTTATTATCAAAAATATCGTGCTGCCCAGTCATTTATTCAAATGCCCCTCTCATTTGTAAGGCAACACAAAAAGGAAGAAAAAGCCAGGAAAAAAGAGGCACGATTGTATTTGTTTGCAGGTTACTCATTCATTGACATAACGATGATCAGTTGATTTCGCATTAGTGTGAAATTATAAACCCATGATTTTCGTTTTCAGGGTTGCAACTTTTGATGATCGCGATGCCCCGCTGCGGCTGAATCAAACATACCTGCCAGGCTGGAGAAGGTCTGCAGGACGCAGAAGCTGAGAGCCTAGAGGCAGAGGAACAGGAGGCTGAGGCTGAAGAAAACCCAACAGCACACATGCAGGCTGGTTTACTAACTTCGATGACATTGATTGTGTTCAATATCTCTGAATTGAATTGGGATACTTCAAGAGAAGTTTTGTTTCAGGTGCTTCCGGTGACTGTGCTGGCAGCAAAGAAAAACGGTGGTGGTAAGGAGGCTGTTGAAAAAGCCCCAGTCTTTGAAGAGGAAACTGTGAAGAAGATTGATGCGTTAAAGGCTTAGTATTGCTGAAAGGCTTTAAAAATGAAACCCGACTAGCCATCAATAATATGTTGGTATTCATTTCTGAAGCCTTTGAACCCCTGTTATTCGTGTGGTGTGTATACAAGTCTGCCAAACACTGATGGTTTATTGTTGCTTCGCTTGAATCAAAGGTACAAGAAGAAAGCTTGCCAGACAGTCCGAACACATGTGAGACTCTGTGTTGAAGAGGATAGGGTTCCCAATGCTCAAAGATGTTCAATCGGAATGTGTTCCCTATTGTTCAAAAACCCTGTTCAAAAACCGCTCCTATCAGTCCCCAGGACAACACCACCAAAATGCAACAAGCTTTCGCAGCCACGGCTTTTGGTGAATGGAGAGGGCAGGTGGATGCTGAAACGATACTAGGCTCACCTTCTTATTATAGGCATTCCATGTGCCCCGACAATTCCTTTTGGCGCCCAAATGTTGTTGAATTATTCCCCACAACCTTTCTTTAGAGGTATGTATTAGACAGGTCCCCTTTATTCCTAGAGATCACCCATAACTCCTGTCCTGCCCCCGGTTAAAAAAAACACATGATGTGTGATATGCCCCACTGACTCCCAGCTAAGGAGGCAGATCACGAAACTGGTGGCCATTTACCTGGAGCCCTGGTTGCACCCAGGGATCCGGTAGCTTACTTCCAAAAGCAAAATGTTTCACAATGAATCCCATCGGAAAACTCAGGACACAAAAACCGTGGGAGAGGCTGCTACTCAGCCAGCAGTTCGCATGCCTCCGCTCCGTGAGGGGCGCCACAATCGCCTCTTTTCGGCGGCAATCGCCTTGCGTTGGAATGAAGAGGACAAGTCGCTTCATGAAGGCGATGGCATTGTGATTCAAGATGGAGGAAGGGAAGGTTCCTTGAAACATTTAATCAAGAGTATCATCAGAGATATGGAATCAAATGGGGTTGCAAAAACATGTATTTATTTGGGGTGAAAAACAGTACTGAAATTTCTCACTAAGGCTTGTGGTCGAGTCTGATGTCTGCACTGAAAACTCCTACAAATGCCAGTCTACCCAAGCCCAAGATCACGAAATACCTTCTTTGGAGTGAACAGTCGCTACGTGCTCGCAAGACCAGGGACAAGGGAGCCCAATTGACACAGATCGAACGGCTGCAGGTGATCCTTCCAGAGGAACAGAATTTCAGTTTCCACGATCGGTCAATCTATACAGGTACCAATCGAGGTGACACCATATATCCTGTTAAGGCTCCAAGCTGGACTGAACTTTGGATGATTTCCTCACCAAAATTTTAAGGTGTCTACTTTGTTGTCGTTTTGTGGGAAAGACCATTGGATCATCACCCCAACATCACCCCAACTATCATCATTCCAGGTTCCAACCATCCAACATATCAACATCGCCACCTCTAATTCTTGCCAATCCCAGCTAAGGACGAGGCCGAGACTTGGCGAATGACTCTGGCCAAGAAGAAGCTGCTCTTTGGGCCTGCGGGTTTCATCAAAGTTGGCTCAAAAGGGGAACCACAACCACCGGAGAGCAAGACGAGTATTCTAGCTTAAAAAGCCGAGTATTCTAGTCGTCAAGTGAATCGATTTTCAAACCTTCTATCAACTTCAAGCATCAAACTAAGGCAGGAGAAAGGATACTGATGAAGAACCGGTTTATTACCACAGTCTTCCATCCCAGGCCGTTGCCTGGCTTGATTATGAACAGACAACTTCATTCTATATTGTCTGTCTATTTCGGGCCATGGGGTACAGGTTCTTAATGACAATCGGGTATTACAGGCTATCATGATTAACAAGTCGCTACACTCTTAGTCAGGTTGAAGAAATCTTTGAAGAACTCAACATCGGCTACATGTTGGATCTGAGCTGTGGTATCTTGGCTTTGAGATGTAAAATGTGAAATTTAAATTTAGCCTGCACAAAGTCTCATTTTGCTATTGCCCCACCGCCACATCAGGTGACGGAAAAACCGCGTTTACTGCAATTGCGAAGCGCATCCCGTTTGTGGGGGTGGTACACACCTCTGAGCATGTTTCTTGGATATAATTGTTCAGTGAGTCAGCTTAGTCAAGCAAGACATGCTTAGTCAAACAAGACATATGAAACCAGGTAGTACTAATCATATGCCATCATTGGGCAATTGAGGCGGACTTCCTCTTGAAGAGGCTGGAGAGCCAGGTGTTTCGCGCCATGCAGCTTCCAGACTCGCCCCTGTACGAACCGGGACTGGCAGCACTGTTGAAAATGAAAAAAAGACCTCAAAGCAAAGCCAAGGCGAGGTTATGTTACTCTGCGCGTTTTTGTTTTAATTTCCCCATTGTTTAAAATGTTTAATGTATGATAATTGCAACGAAGGCCAAAGCAAAGTCAAAAGCAAACAAAGAGGATGATGATCAGGATGATGATGCAGATGAGGAACCGGAGGAAGAGGAAAGTGGGGGGGATGAAGAGGAGGAACCAGAGGAAGATGATGATATGAAGGAAGGTTCTGAGGAGGAGCCAGGATCAGAGAATGAGGATGACGATGCGCAGGAGAGCCAAGAGGAGGAAGGATCTGAAAAGGATGGGGAAGAGGAAGGTGAGGATGAGGAGGATGAAGATAATGATGAGGAGGAACCCCGGGGCAAGGCACGAAAGGGAGCAAGCAAGGCAAAGGCAAAGCCCAAGCCCAAGCAGGCACCTAAGGCAAAGGCAAAGGGAAAGGGCAAAGGGGGAGGCAAGGCTAAGGCAAAGCCAAAGGCGAAAGGAAAAGCAAAGGCAGCAGGACGCCCAAAGGCCGGGTTTTATAAAGTGACCCAATTGAAAATGTTCCTTGTATTGTTTCTTTTCACTTTCCATTTGAATTTCAATTGTACATAGCTGGTACCAAGGCAGGAGCGAAGAAGGCCAATGCAGTGCTCAAAAAACTTGAAGGCTTGATGAAGTGAAGGCTTGATGGCCTGATGTGAGCTTAGATGTAAAAGGACTGGACATACCAAGACCTACGCTGGACACGGCTTGCTGCGGGAACCAAAAAGGGAAAAACCCAGCCTGTTCTGGTTTTAAATTACAAATTGCAAATTGCCGCACTAAGACTCTCAAGGCCACTCAACATCAAAGCATGTTTGTCAGTATTTGGCTCAGTGATAGACTGGGCGCAATGCCTAAAAGAAATCTTGTGTTGGCAGAAGACTGTGCGGGACTGGGGCCGCTGAAAGAAAGTTGCAAGCTACCTGACTGATTTGTTGCATTCGACCTTCTATTCAATTACTTGCACTTTACCCTGACACGCCTATCTGCCTACTATGATATGGCAACATAAATTGTAGAAAATCTACTAAGGCTTGCAGGCCTACAAAGTCATGTATACTACGTCTCGGAGAGCGACCCAAAGCTCCTAGAGCGGTTGAAAAAGATCTACAAGCCGGAGTTGGTTTCGAAAGATGCTATGAAAAAAAAAGGTATCCTGTCCATTTGGTGTTTCGTTTAATTTGGATTCATGTCGGGAAACAAGATCGTCAAACCTGATTAAATTATGTTGCTGCCAGACCCCTCACTGTATCTGAGGAATCCGTCAGCTGATTGACATCTTTGGTGCTGGCTGCCCGTGCCAGCCTTTTTCCCCCATCGGGAAGCGAAAGGGGAAGAAGGACCCAAGGGCCAAAGTGTTCGAAAGAGTGCCTTTGTTTTCAATTTTCAATATCCCAAAGCGATCATAGCCAATTTAATCGTTTCTTCATCCCACAACTGGATCTGAGTCCCAAAGTTGCCATCCTAGGTGGTAAAGCGCATACAAGCCTGGCTACCGGATACGTTTGTGTTAGAGAACAGCAAGTCCTTGACCAACAAGAAGCATGCCAAATTCTTCAAGAAGCTTCTCACAAAGCTCCTTGACACTCATAATTGACATAAGTTCCTATCATTAAATTGAATGTGCCCAATCACGTCCAAACATGTTGACTGACCCCAGGCTCAAGTCCAAAGGACACTATAAGGTCTACTGGAAGGCGCACATGGGCCTACAGAGGTTGTTTTGACCAAATCAAAATGATGAATTTAAAAAACATATGCACTCAGACTACTAATAGTGAAGTTGACGAAGTGCAGGAATCTACATATCCCATTTTCAATCTTGACTTCAAAATAATATATAGTATCAAACAGCTTATATTTTCTTACTTGGCAGGTTCTGGATGCCTTCACCCACGGCGCGCTCCCCCAGCGACGTGAGCGCCTCTGGATCGTCGGAGTCAATAGCTATGCGATGAAGGGAGCCTTGGTCCAACTAGGGTGGGTAACCTACAGCTCTGCGGTCCAATAAATACGCACCTTGGGTCCTATAATCACTTGCATATTGTTTCTCACCACCAACAGCCAACCTCAGGACAATTCTCCTGGCCAAAACCTTTGAAGAACCTGAAGAAGATCAAGCTGTGCAAGATGCTTGCGAGGCAAGGGTACCCAAAATGAGGTTGAAAAAGGAATTCCATTTTTTGGGAGATAGTTAACTCATTAATCGTTGGGCCCCAAACTATTTACCATTATAATATCCCTTGTGTGCTGGACAGGAAAGCCCAAGACTATGAGTTCCCAAAGTCTTCAACCGGGAAGAAGCGACTGCGAACAGCGCTGAAGTGGGTGACTAACCAGGGTGAATCTTTGGATGACTGTTGGTTTCTTGGTAATATTTTGGCACTCAAACCTAAGTCTTAGTGTTCATAATGTGTGGTCAGTTTTTTCGATGTGAAATTGAAGATTGAGTGTGTCATCTAAGGGTGATTGACTGCGCGGCCTCCAAAAAATTTCAAGGGAAACCCAGCAAAGACAAGCATCTTGGTTGAATGCATATACCCGCTTCAAACTTGAATGTCCATCAGTTTTTTTGGTTTTGACTTGAAAACACATGTCAAGGTCCCTCAATGGTTTCTTGCTACTTAGGAGCCCGTGCTTAACAAGGGCAAGAGGAGGGTGTTCCGAAAGCTTTTGGGTTACTTCGCACCGCCGATTCATGAACCTGCAGGACTGGATTTTGGCCTTTGCCGCTTAACCCCTTACTGTTTTTTTGTGTCCATATCACTATGTTACCCAATTATTATGGTATTTATAAACCCATTACATTATAGTTACATGATCATATTTTACTTTGGTTCTGGTCCATCAGGAGAAATGCAGGGTGCAGGGTTGGGACCCAAAGCGTATGCAAGCTGATGATCTCAGCGTCCGTGAGATGGGGCTGGCTCTTGGGAATGCTTGGCCACTTTCAGTGTCCAGTAGAATAGTAGAACAGCTGAACAAGTGCATGAAGTGGCAGGAAAATGCCAAAACAAAATTGAAATTGCCATAAAATGGCATGTGCTGAGCTTCGACCTTGACGGGAAAAAATCGAATGTCAACCCGCTGTTTAATCAAGTGGTTTGGTGATCTCACCTGATTACCTAAGCCGCAGACCCCAGCCAACATCAGCTGAGGCTCCCAGCGGGACTGGCGCAGAGCAGGATGTGGCGGCCGCAGGGCAGCGAGGGGGGTGCCACGCCACATTAAGATAATAATTAGATTAATCACATATTCAAACATCAGATTATTTTCACACCCCAATTGTAAAATGCTCAATGGACCCCATGGGTGAATTCCCACATGGGGGTACACCAATGAAGTCTGTTGAACCCAGTAGAATCCCAGGATTTCATTCTCCTTATGAAACACCAGTAAGATAGCCACATTCACAAATAATTGGGGCACAATGGAAATCACAAATAGTGAAGACCACCAAAAATATTTGACTATCTTAAAAGCAGGTAAGACGATGTGCGACCCATCGCGGTTGGGGAAGTTTTGCGGCGGCTGACTGCCACGTGCCTTTGCTCCGACGTGCGCAACTCTGCCCGGGATCTTCTATGCCCTTTACAAGTTGGGGTGGCCACCCGCAATGGCACTGAAGCAGTTGTCCACACTGCCCGACACTGGGCGCAGAGGCATGCAGGGCAGGCTGAACAGGTTCTCCTCAAAATTGATTTCAGCAATGCCTTCAACTCGGTCGACCGGGCTTCTCTCCTCCGCGAGACTCGCCTCCGCCTGCCAGGCTTGTCCCCTTGGGCAGAGTGGTGCTATGGTCTCCACTCGCGGCTGCTGTTCCAAGGCTCGCCTTTGAGTTCTGAAACCGGGGTGCAACAAGGTGACCCGCTTGGCCCTTTGTTGTTCTCCTTGGCATTACAGCCGGCCCTCCAAGCTGCTGCCCGTGGAGGCCCTCCGGAACTTCGACCCTCGCTGGTGGTGGCTTACCTGGATGATGTGTGCTTGGCTGGCTCATATCGTCAAGTCAGCGCAGGCTTGGTCCGCTTGACGGCGGCCGCACGCCAGGTCGGATTGCAAGTCAACCCTGCCAAATGCGAGCTTGTGGCGTGTGGAGGGGCCGCAGCCACTGTGGACATGAGCTTCTTCCCACCCGGCATTCCCCTCAACCAAACCGGGACCTTCAGCCTTTTGGGGGCGCCCATTGGAGACGGTAGTTTCTGCAACCAGTTCACAACATCGGAGCGAGTTGCCAAAGCTTTGCCACTGTTAGACGCTTTGGCTGTCTTGCCGGATGCCCAAACTGCCCTCCTGCTCCTCCGCCACTGTGCCTCCCATTGTCGGATGGCTTACTCCATCAGAGTCACCCCTCCTGATGGGCTCGGCCCCTCCCTGGAAGCGTTTGACAATGCTGTTAGAGGATGCCTCGAAGTGGCTTGCAGCGGGCCCCTCACTGCGGAAGCGTGGCTCCAAGCAACACTCTCCACTCGGTGTGGTGGGCTCGGGCTCCGCAGCGTGGCCCGGCACAGTGTCGCCGGCTACGCTGCGTCTTTGTGGGCTACTGTGCCACTGTGCAAAGATATGGATCCAGGCTACGACCCTGACTTCAATGCTGCTCTCAACCTGGTGAACATGGCCCTTCCGCCGGCCGACCACCTCCCGGTCCCAGCCCGCAACCTGTCAGACAACAAGAGTTGTCACGCGCGCTGGACCGTGTTGTGGTCGCCAGGCTCGCAGCCCCTGCTCCTGGTCGGGAAGCCTTTCGGGCGCATCTTCAGCTCTTGCAGCAAGAAGGCGCGGGGGCGTGGCTCCATGCTCTCCCAAGCGCCGCCTTGGGGCTTCACGTGGTGACCCCGCTCTTTCGGACCATGGTTCGCTTGCGGCTCCGCTTGCCGGTGTCTGATTCTGACACCCCTTGCCCCCTCTGCGATGGCACCTGTGACAGATTTGGTGACCATGCGCGCGTTTGTCCCTGTGGCGGCGATCGGGTCAAGCGGCACCATCAGCTCAGAAACATTTTGGCAGGGCGGGCAAAAACAGCAGGCCTTCAGCCCGAGGTTGAAAAGCCCAACCTCCTACCTCCACGCCCTGAACTTCAAGGTGGCCCAGAAGATGGGGAGCAACCCTGTGGCGGTGGTCGCCGGCCAGCCGATGTCTGGCTCCCCAACTGGCACCTACATGGTCCAGCTGCGTTCGACATTGCCGTCACTTCGGGCATGAGACAGAGTGTTCTGACTGCATCCGTGACAGATGGCAGCAGAGCATCTACGGACTATGAAGCACGGAAATGCCAGCATCTAAGCACTTTGGAAGCCTGCACGAGTGAAGGGCTCCAGTTCGTCCCGCTCGTTGTTGAAGCGTGCGGTGGTGGCTGGGGGCCCATTGCTTTGAAAACCTGGCGCTCCTTGGGTGAGGCGATTTCCGCCCGCACTGGTGAAGGCAGCTCTGTGGAATCGCAGCGCCTCCTTCAATCTTTGGGCATCGCGCTGCAGCGCGAAAACGCTAGAGCTGTCTTACGGCGCCTGGACTGATGGGTTCACTACCCGCTCTTCTTGCTCTTCTGACCACGTCTGAGCCAAGCCATTCTCACCCCTTGGTTTCACTTTCACCTTTGTTTCAGCTGTCAGCAGCTGGAGCGCGCGGATTGACTCGCGCCCTCAGCCACTCTGCAAGATGCCTGTGGCTGTTTGGTTTCTTTTCGGATCAGCTCATGTGGGCCCGCTTGCCTTCTGGCTTTTGGGTCACGTATGCCCCCGCTCCGGCAGCTCGGTCTTCGGGGCCTCCATGTACATGCTAGGGCCCTGCAGCCAGTTCTGTTGAGAGTGTTTCCTTCATTGCACTTTCCTTTGTTGCATTGGCAATGCCCAGTGCATCTGTAGACTGAATAACTTCTAGAGTCAAGACATGTCATTTCAGATGACTTCAACAATACGCAGCAGACATCATCATTAATCGATGTATATCAGTATAAATCAGCTGAATCAGCTAAGCAAATCCCGGACATGGTAGTTGCAGAAGATCAGGACCTTGGAGTGCTACATCAACCTGGACTTGCTGAAGATGATGTGTTGTTTAATTGGTTACATTCTGCCAACGGTACTGGGATTATATAATGCATATATGATATTATATTCTCATATATATTACATATATAATATAATTTATACGTATGTATAATATGTAAAATATAATAATATAATAATATATATAAATATATGTGTGTGTAATATAGTAATATATATATATATATCATTAATAATATATATCATTAATTATATATATCATTAATATTATATTTCATTAATAATATATATCATTAATAATATATTTCATTAATAATATATGTCATTAATAATATAGTTTAGCTAAACCCAAAAGGTCGCTGCGGCCTGTTTTTGAAGTTATTTAGACGTATTGAACGTGGGGGGGCGTACGGCCATCTGAGCGAGGGTACGGCGGGCGAACGGGGGGGGAACGGGGGGGCGAACGGGGGGACGAACCGGGGGGCGAACGGGGGGGCGAACGCACACATGCACACACGTACGCACATACGTACGCACATACGTACGCACAGACGTACGCACGTACGTTCGCACGTATGCACGTACGTAGGTACCATGTTCAGACCCATGTTCAAGCCCATGTTCAGACCCATGTTCAGAAATAAGGTTACCTTTGAAAAGTGACCTCCCAATACTAAATATGCTTTAGGAGGCTTAGGGTCGTACAGAAATAAGGTTACCTTTTATATAAAAGGTAACCTTAAAGGTAACCTTATTTCTGAACATGCATGTGAACGTGCGTGCGTACATGCACATGAACGTGCGTGCGTGCATGCGTACGTACGTGCGTACATGCGTATGTGCGACCCCTTCGTGCGACCCGTTAATGCGCCCTCAAGGGGGTGGGCCCGCCCTCAAAATTGCACGGGTTTTGAATACCAACATCTTTGTACCAGTATTCTTGGGTTGTATAAGTAGGTGTAAAATAATTTCGGCACAGGTTGACTGTACTAATTATCACCAGGCAAAACAAGACTAGTCGAATCGTTCGCCCGTCCGCTCGCCCCCCCGCTCGCCCCCCCGCTCGCTCGTGCGGGCGACGTTCGTCCACCCGTTCGCCCGCATGTTCGCCCCTACGTTCGCCCCCCCGCTAACTCTTCGTGCGGTTTTCAACATATCCACGGCAGCGAGTTTTTGAGTTTAGCTAAAATATAGTTCATTAATAATATATTTCATTAATACTGTGTATATAATATGCCATGGCCCCCACTAAGCAAATTCAAGTTTGCATCCTGCTTCCCACCCCAGCACACAACAGTACCAGGTGGCACCCCCCGAACTGGAGTCCTCCGTTCCGGGCACGCTGAAGGTCGGAGACCCCAAGTTGGTACCCCAAATCATCCAAGCTGGTCCAACATGTTTTTTTTTTTGATATGTTCTTTGGGGAAACTGGTCATGATGATGGGGATGAGGAGGAGCAGGATGAGGATGAGGATGAGGATGAGGATGAGGATGAGGATGATGATGATGATGATGCTGATGATGATGAGGAGGATGAAACAATTGAGTGGTGGATATTGGGGTTGTGTCCTGAAATGCAGAATGCACACCCAATAGATACAGTCACCGTCAATATTTATTGATTGTCCAACCTTGATCATGCATCTCCAGAGTCCAGTGAAATGACAAACATCATTGTTTTAGTAATATGAGTGAGATCCCTGACCTGTGGAACACCCAAATTTTGAGATCTCATGCATTGATTGCTTCATGCTGAATAAGATAGGTGAGCGCCCAAGCTCATGTGTAGGAACGAAATTAAAGCTAGGGCCCCAAAAGAAATTGTATCCCTTTCACAATTTGCAAGACTGTGGAGAATGCGGACTTGTTTGAGGTATTCGTGTCCTGTCAAAATCTGAAGATTTGTAAAGTCCTCAATTTGCTGTCTAGCAACCACTCCAAATAGATGGATCAGTAATGTACCATTGATTTGGTAAGACTCAATTTTTCTGCGTGGTTGCAGGCAAACGCCCCGGTAAACTGGTGAACACCAAAATAATTCGTAAACGGATGTAAATGGTTGTGCATCTCTCCAAAGATGTTTTTTTGAATGGTTTTGACTATTTTTGATCCATCCCCCATATTTTTTTTGGGGGGGTGGCTATACATAATCTCCATGATTTGTTGTTTCCAATCTATGTTTGATGGTGTTTCATACCTAGTCCCATGTCTTCCCCAGGTGCGTCTGGAATCCGAGCGAGAGGCCCCGCCTCGAAAAAATGGTGTGTGTCGGAGACGGTCGGGGGCGACCCTTGTGATGGAAAAGCCTTTGGGAAACGAGAAAAGAATCAGTGTATCTATGGTATCTATGGTATATATATGGTATCTATGGTACATATGGTATATATGGTTAATGGATGGTTAATGGATGGTATATATATATATATATGGTATATATGTTCTATAATATCTGGTTGGTGGTTTGGAACCATGGAATTTTATGACTTTCCATTCAGTTGGGAAGTTCATAATCCCAACTGACTCATATTTTTCAGAGGGGTAGGTCAACCACCAACCAGCTATGTATATCTCGCAGATGCAGCCTGTATTCGAGATGCATAGCCAACAAACTGGCAAGACAATCGCTTTGACTGCTTCAAAATCTGTTTTAGAAAAATAGAGGTGCAGGTACAACCACCCATCGAGCATTGTATGCGTTGCAAGAATTCAAGTATCCACCAGTCAACGTCCCTGTTTAAGGCCATCCTTGTGCTGACCATTGTGGTGAAACGAAGTGCCTGCTGCTGCCGCTTTTCTTGCGGAAAACGCCATATTATTAAATTTGGAACCAGATTTCTATTGCTGAATACTGAATACACCATATGTTTGCTGGTAAAACTCTTCTTGTTGCTGCAAAAAATCCTTCAGCCAATAGACTTGGATTGCCGTGGTAGGTCGCCGTTCGTCCACCGAATCTGGACATGCTGGAAGGTGCAAACATGGGATGCACGAGCGGCCAAGATATTGATGGGTTATCATGTCCATGTACGTCCAGCATCATGACGTTATGTTTGCAGATATGTTGCAGATATGTCCTTTTGGGTTGATGTTAGTTGTATCAACATGGGTCACTCATTGCACAGATCTGATTCATGGATCCTTTGCTGATTCACAGCCAAGGCTGGAAGAAATAGTTCGAAGATTGTGAAAAATCATAGATCCAAGATGGGAGATTGGGAGACAGGGATGTTTCGTTCCCACGATGTGAGACAGGTTTGCAGGCAACTCGTACTTCTTCTTGCACAGTTCCGGAAGATTCTTGAAGACTCGTTGGATAGTTATTGCTCTTCAATGTCATAATGTGCAACTACTACCAACTATGGAGAGCTGTCAACGAGTAGCACTGATCTCCCTGTAACACCCATTTCCATCCATTTCCAGCATTATTTTGCTCATGCCGATTTGGAAATTCATGGCGTTTCGCCTCTTTCTCTTGTGGGCAACACGCCTGAAGATTTGATATGGTATATTATATATAGAGGAACGTCTTGCATGTTGGCGACATAAATCTCCCTTATCAGTATCAGCAGGATCCAACAGGCATTGATGTGGCAAACCCACTAGTGAAATATAGTAAGCCCCTTGATTGGGTATGGTTTCTGATAGCATCCAATCGAAAATGAGACAATTTTGGGATGGTCCGGGCCCGTGGGACTTCATCGGTTCCAGCTTTGGCCAATCCTTCTCGGCAAATTCTAATCCCTTCCGCCGAATATCTATGTATGAGATATCAATGGGATATTACTCGGATAATACACCCTCAGAAACCTGGGTTTAGTCTTGGATCTTTCCATCTTGTGAGACTGTAAGGAAACAATCGTTTTTTTCCCCATCTGCCAGGTGAGGGTCTCTAGGATTTATCAGAGTTACTTCCCCCGCCTCCTCGTCCTTCCTTTCCGTCCGGAGCGAAAAACCGCGAGCTCCAGATCGCGGTGGGCACTGCCTAACAGTTTGCTATGGAAAACCACCATTTTTAATGGGAAAACTCACTATAAATGGCCATTTCCAATAGCTATGTTAAATTACCAGAGGGTACTTCCAAAATCTTCCAAATGAGATGTCAGAAACTATGACAGAATAATTTGTCACGGTGGGGATCACTCGAAGTAAAGTATTTTTTGTGAAGTAGGAATGTTCACTCCAATACCTTGCAAAGACCTCATCACGTATGATGACTAGCAAGGGGAATCATCCCCAAAGTTGATCACGAGGTTGCAACATACGTTAATTTTCCCAGGTCCAATCATCTAATCGCCAACCGCTTGGGAGCTAGTAGACCTGTCAGGTAAAAACGACCTGACGGCACAACAGAAAGAAAAACTTCGGAAGGCAGGCTATGCTCCGTGGGGTTGAGGCCATCAGCTTGGTATGAACCAGTCCGATCATTCTGCCACCTGGTGGATAGTCTTGAAAAATCTCACTTTGCTACTTTGCTTGCAGCATCATCCTATTTTCTTGGCTCAAATTCC